AGAGAGAGAGAGAGAGAGAGAGAGAGAGAGAGAAAGTGTGTGTGTATGTGATATGGTTAGATCTACTCTTTAGGAAGATTACTTTGACAGCTGAGTGGAGGATGGACTGGATTGGGGAGAAATGTGGCATGCAGAGCCACCAGCATGTTATTGTAATAGTCCAAGCATGAATCTAAGACAATTTCAAATGGTGGAAAATGCTATACACATCCAGAGAAAGAACTGATGGAGGTTAAGTTCAGATGGAAGCTTACTATTTTTACTTTCTTTGTTTTTTTCATGGTTTTTTCCCTTTTGTTCTGTTTCTTCTTTCACAACATGACTAATGTGGAAATATGTTTAACATGATTGCATATGTATAACCTGTATCAGATTGCTTGCCATTTTGAGGAGGGGGAGGGGAAGGAGGGAGAAAAATTGGGAACTCAAAATCCTATAAAAATGAATGTTGAAAACTATTTTTACATGTAATTGGAAAAAAATAAAATACTATTTACATAAAAAATAGTCCAAGTACAAGGTGATGAGGGCCTACATCAAGGTGGTGGTGGTGTCAGAGGAGAGAAGGGGGCACATTCAAGAGATGTTATGAAGGTTAAATCAATAGACTTGGTAATATATTGGATATGGAGATGAGAGTGAGGAGTGGAGAATGACACCTAGATTGTGAGCTTGGCTAACTTGGAAGATGGTGGTGTCCTTAACATTAATAGGGAAGTTAGGAAGAGGGAAGAATTTGGAGAAAAAGATGAGTTTAGCTTTGGACATGTTGATTTTAAGATGTTTATGGGACATCCTGTTTAACATGTCTAATGGCAGTTGGTGATGTGAAACTTGACGTCAGGAGAGAGGTTGGGGTTAGATAAGTAATTTTGAGAATCATCTGCATAGAGATGATAATTGAACCTAGAATACTTGGTGAGATCACCAAGTAAGATAGTATAGAAGAAGGCCAAAAGACAGAGTTGGTGAAGCAACACTGGAGGTCAAGAGAGAGGTTAGATATGGGAATTATTTCCACACAGATAATTATTGAAGCCATAGAAGCTTATGAGATCACCAAGGAAAGAGGGCCCAGGATAGAGCCTTGGAGAACACTTACGAATTGTGGACCTGACCTTAATGAAGGAAAGGAGACTAAGAATGGGTGGTCAGAGAGGAAGAAGAAAGAGCAGCAGAGAACAATGTCACAAAAACCTATAAAGGGGAGATTATATAGGAGAAGAAGGTGATTAATAGTAACAAGAGCTGCAGAAAGGTCAAGAAGGATGAGTATTGAGAAAATACTATTAAATTTGGCAATTAAGAGATTATTGCTAACTTTGGAGAGAGCAATGTCAGTTAAATGATGACAACAAAAACTAGATTCCAGAGGGTTTAAAATTTAGTGAGATGAGAAGTGCAAGCAGTCAAAAAATTTAGCCTGGGGCAGCTGGGTGGCAGTGGACAGAGCACTGGAGTCAGGAAGACCTGAGTTCAAATCTAGCCTCAGGTACTTACTAGCTGTGTAACTCTGGGCAAGTCACTTAACCCTGATTGCCTCAAAAAAATGTTTAGCCTAGAAGGGTAACAGTGGAACAACATATCTAGGTACAGATAGAAAAGAATCTCTAGTTGAGAGGCTAACTCTAGGCAGGGTGGGGTGCTAAAGTTAACTGACATGTAGATAGTGCTTTAAAACTTACAAAGAATGTAACAGAATTATCTTATTTGATCCTTACAACAGCTCTGTGAGGTAGATACTACCATTTCCATTTTACAAGTGAATAGAAGAGGGCTCAATGAGGTTGACTGACTTGCCCATGATCATCATGTAGTAAATATCGGAGGCAGGATTCAAATCTAGATCTCTTCTGAATCCAAGTTTAATGCTCCTTCTACTACATATATTTCTTATGGCTCACTGCTTTGGATACAAGCCAGTCCTTTACTTGGGAACTGAAGGGATTGTTTGGAATGATAGGAAAAAGCAAGTGGGATGGTCTCTACAGGGCATCCTTACCTGTTGAGAGAGTAGGCTGCTAGAAATGATGTGATTTCAGGGACATAGAGGGACTCTTAAATGTGCTACAACTGGTCTCCTGGTATTTAGAATTCTTTTACTTTGGGACAAAGACAATAAAGATTTAAATTTTTAAAAATGGAATCACTATCCTGTTAAAGCCAGTTCTACTTATATTGGTTACATCAATGCTCTCTTTTCAAACGATCTGTTTTAGTGTGTAAATTTTACAAAAGGAGTCAAAATGAGAGGTATTCAAAATCTGTCAGAAGGAAATTCAGGAATTGTCATGAAAGTTAACATGACCTGGAAAGCAGCACCCTGGAGTTATACCATATTCAGATAACAGTGGCAAGGTGTCTCAGATTACTATAGTTTT